AGACTCCTTCTTTCCCTTTATCCCTGTAGTTCCTTGTGTAACCCTGCCTTCTCCCATTTAAATATTCCATGTTTACCCATTTCTCCCTTAGTAACCTGTTCCCTACTGTTCTTCTCTCTCAGGTTTCTTCTTTCCCTTTACCTTCCTGGTTCTCTTCCATTTTCCTGGTTCCTGCAGTTACATCAGGATATAAATGATTTGGCACTAGGATCCACAAATGAGGGAGAACACACGTCTTTTGTTTTTCTGAGTCTGTGTTGCTTCACTTGGTAAAACAGTTTTCAGTTCCATGCGTTTACCTGTAAATTTAATGATTTCACTTTTCTTTACCCTTGAGTAGAACTCCATTGTGTAAATGTATCACATTTTCATTTTCCAATTGTCAGTCGAAGAACACTTTATTTGCTTCCATCTCTTAGCTATTGTGAAAACAACAGTAACAAATGTACAAGGGTCTCTGCAATAGGATTTGTCCTTTGGGTATATGCCAAGGAGTGGTATAACCGGGTCAAATGTTAGGTTCATTTTTAGTTTCTTAATAAGGGTTCTCCATGCTGCTTTCCTAAGAGTTATACACTTTGCAATCCCAATAGCAGTGGATAAGCGTTCCCATTTCCCCACATTCTCTCCAACATTTGGCATCATTTGTTCTCTTGATCTTAGACAGTCTGACTTTGGTAAGATGAAATCTTAAAGTGGCTTTAATTTGCATTTCCCTAATTACTAATGATGTTGGACACCTGGTAAGATGCTTCTTAGCCATTGTTATTTCTTCTTCTCAGAACTTTCTGTTCAGATGCTTAGTCCATCTTTTAATTGGGTTACTTTCTTCTTTGTATTTTGAATTCTTTATATATTCTGGATTTTAAACCTCAATCAGATGTGTCTTTGGTGAAGATTTTCTCCCACTCTGTGGATTTTCTCTTTGCTTCCTTGGTTGCTTCTTTTGATGTACAGAAGCTTTTTAGTTTAAAGAGGTCCAATTTCTTGATTCTTGAGCTTATTTCCTGAACAACTGATGGTTTTGAAAGTCCTCTCCTATACCTATATCTTGTAGGTTATTGCTAATGTTTTCTTCTAACAGTTTCAGAGTTTCAGATTTCACAAAGTAATGTTTGATCCAC